CCTCACTGTCCTTCCCGTCACGGGGTGACAGGGAGGGCTGGGGCCACCATATTGGTTTTGTGAACAAGTGATCTCATAAGAACTACACTGAAGATAAACTTGGGGGCTGCAGCCACTGTTGACTTTCGGCCACAGGCCTGGAGCCAGCACCCCCTGCAGGGTCAGCGAGACCTTTATGTGACATCACAGTGAGTGGACATGGGCTGCAAGTGTCACCCGTGGTCCTCTAACACCAGGCTTAGGCTGACCCTTGGCTCTATTTTCTTGTCCTCAGAGTAACTGGCCCCGATGTTGAACACAGGAGCTGAAGACTCTAATGGACTTTCTTGTGGGAAATTCAGTGATGGAGAAAGGAACCAGCACTGACCCAGGGCGGATGCCCCAAGTGGCTAGACAGGAGGCCAACATCCCGCCCCACCTCAGACAAAGGCCACCCAGGAGAGGGACCCAGGGTCCCAAACACTACATGGGCTACACAGGGAAAGGAGAGGGGGGCATAACCTCTACAGACTCATTTTTGAGGGCTTTTGACTTGATGGTTTCTCCCTGTTATTCAGCAGTGCAACAAGGAGTCCCTGTGTGCTCCTCTCCTGGTGCTCATTTTCCTTGCAGAATGACTCCCAAGAGAAGTAGACAGGATGCTGTCACAGCACTGAGGACTCCGAGCCTTCCTCCCATCTACTGATCAGACAGATGCATTCCTGTTGGGCCCACTTTCCTTCTCTCATTTCCTCTTTTCCCTCCTAGCCCGCGGTCTCTCCTTTCACCATTCCCGTCCTCCTCTTCTTGGCGCCTCTCCTGTCTCCCCTTCCCTCCCACCACCACCCGGATCTTGCCCTCCTCCTACCCCCTTCCAGTGATGAGCTGAAAGGTGGCCACTGGCCCCATCATTAAGCAGAGCTGCTAGGATTTATTTTCTTTTGGAAATACGGCTGGTTGTGAGTATTTTATCATGGCCATAATAGAGTCCATTTTTATTGCAAAATCTCCCGTCTCCCTGTTTTGGGGGTGTGTGAGACTATGCCGAGAGCCCGGGGGGAGCGAGCAGCTTCCAAATGAACATGAAGGTTAGGGAAGGTTCCCAGCGGAAGGAAGGGAAAAACTGAAAACACTGAAACAGGATCTGAGATAGGAATGCTCCCTCAGCCTGGCTAAATCCACCGAATAAGCCCTCAGCCTGTAAGGTCACCTACAGCAGTTTGTAAATTAGAGTCATATCCGTTCTTCATTGAAAACAAAGCCAAAGTTTAAAAAAAAAAAAAAGGAGAAAAAGAAAAGATTTCCAGTCTCCTAAGAGAAACCATGGCCATTTCTATTATAAAATGGGGGTGGGGCGGGGGGGCTCTACTATCACTAATACTGGGAAGAAGAAAACTGAGAGGAAGACGCAAGGGTCAAGCAAGGACCAGGGACCCAGTGGGCACCGCACTCCAGCGCCATCTACAGGGACAAGCGCCATCTACAGGGAAGAGACCCTCCCACCCACACACGGACCCTGGACCCACACAGGCACAATCACTAGGACTCTGGGAAACGTGGAAGGAAGACACAGCCTCAACTAGATCTCTTCTCATAGCAAAGCCAGATCAAGGCTGAGCGCTCCTGAAATACAGCAGAGTCCTCGGGAGGCAGGAAACGCGAGAGGCAAGGCCAGGGGATGTGACTCACCCTGGTACCTGCCAGCCGTGGCAGGCCCGCCATTAAGTGTGGGTGGCAGTGACCACAGGAATAGGGAGAGCCTGGGATGACCACGTGTTCTGCAGGGACTCCCAGGGAGCTATGTTGATTCTGTGACCTGCTTAAGTCAGGTTGAAATTCCCCACCCCAAGCCCTCGCTGCCCTCCCTGCCCGACCCTGTTGCCCACTGCAGTCGCTGCAATGCCACACCCCACTCTCACCCCAGAAGCTGACCACACTCCAGCCTGGGTTCCTTTGCACCTGCTCCCAGGATCCCTTCTTGCTTCTTCCAAATCCCTCCTCCAGCCAGGTCCCCCGCGGCCCCACCCGAGAAACCAGAGAAGACCACGCCAGAGCCTCACTCAGCTTCAGCACCCGCCTCTATGACACCGAGTGGCAGGGCGGATCTTCCTCATTGGGACAGCACCCCCAGAGTGCGGGGACTCACAGCCAAGGCATGGGGGAAAGATCTAGGGGGAAATTAGATAGATTCTCATAACCAAGCGTTATTTCCATGTGGATTAAAGGCGATAATGCTTGAAAAGCACCGACTATGGTGCCTGGTGCCGGGGTACATTTTTAATAAATGTTGATCAATCGACAGTAGAGTTGAAAGGCAGCCTCAAATTCTTTCCTCTATATAGAGGACTATGCATATACAAATGTACAACATATAAATATATAGTTAAGTAACTGAACACGTTGAACATGAAATACAGCAGGTAAGATGAATAATCCATCCATGGCATAATGTTTTAATTAAACATTAAAAACCAGAGGTGCCCAAAGCCTTTGATTAAAGCTTCAAAGAAAAAAATTTAAATGTATTAAAAATTCATAAGCTCTTTGCAATTTGAGTGTTTTTTTTTACTCTATAAAATAGTAGTCCAAGTTTATTCTGTGACAGGGCTGGAATAAAGCTGAACAGAACTTTTGCAAAACCATCTCAGAGAGGGTGACAAAGAGAGGGGTGTATGACATGCAAACTGAATGAAATGTTCAACCATAACCTTCTCTTACCTTTGACCCGATGAGCGTGTACAGCCACTGAATGGTTTCATTGTGGTTTATTACTCCATTCATCCCATCCACATACAACATAATCTGGCCCAAAGCTACAGGAGGGAAGAGAAAAAGAAGACGACATTATGGTTTTATATGTAAATATCATCTCCAGTGCTCATAATGTCAAGTGAGATTTTCATACTTTAAGGGCACTGTGTGTTAAGAATCTCCTCTAAAGAGAATGTCGGAGCTCTGAAATTAGCAGAATCTCATCTGGGAAAGTGCTGACCACACCAGAAGAAACAGGGGCTATGCCTGGCCTCTGGAAGATGCAATTAAGGCACGAAATCCAGTGATTGCTGTTTCTCTGTGCTTCAATGTATAAATGCACGTTTTTACGTTTCTGTATCTGTGTGTAGTTCCAGACAGGGCAGAGATATGGGGCCAAAAGAATGCATGAAGTTTCTAAAAGCAACCTGGCTAGTACCCTAGCCTGCAGTCAGACAAGCCCCAGCTGCTAAGCTAATACAATCTGAATCCTTAATATAAGGAATAAATATGTATTTAAGTAATATCTGTGATCCTTTTTAAAGATTTTTCAGGTCTTAAAATGTCAGAAATCAGGAAAAAAAATTGTTGACACCAAGTCCTAAATTTTAAGGAAAATACAGTCACCAAATACGGTCATTATTCACCAAAAAGAAAATACGAGCCATGTTACCACTTTTTAAAAACAAATATTAACTCTATCCATTTTTTCAGTACCCTTACTATCAAAATAATTTGGATTCTAGATAATGAACACACACAAGTCACATACTCTAAATAAATAGACTTCCTTGAATCATGTCTAGCTTCCTAAATCTTATTTCAGCCATAATTCATTGGCATGGAATTGACCTTTTTAGGCAAGACCTTTTTTTCCTGGTAATGGTAGGATATCTCATTTTAGAAAACTCAAAGTAAGAGGTACGAAGTGAAAATAATTCATAGTCTCATAATTTAAAGAATCATTCTTAATCTGTTGATATACTTTCTTATATCCTTTTATGTTTTATACACTCCCCCACACAACTCTGTATGGAGGTCATAGGAAACAGTCCAGATGAAATGGTGTTGATTAAAAAGAGCAAGACACAAAATAGTAGGTATCGACTATTTCCAAGCACCCAAACGTATGTGTCATGTTAAAAAATCCATTATTATCCTATCCGACAGATCAAATAACAAATCACAAGAAAAATTATGCTCCTAAATATGTAAAAGCTCAAAATTTAAAAATTAATTGAACATGTGCTTGACACAATAAACAGTATATTTTTGGAAACAACAGATTCATATTCTATCTAGTGGTGAAACACTGGAGGTCCTATTAAAATCATAAATAATTTTAAAATAATGGCCACTAATCCCATGATTATTTAACACCATGCTACAGAGTTTCAAGCAAATTTAATAAGACATGAAAAATAACGAGCTGTAGGATCACTAGAACTGAATGCATAATATTGTCATTATTTGCAATAAATACTCGACTCAATAAAAATGCATCTACAGAATTTATAATGAAGAGATCACAATTATAACCACTTTCTCATCTTAATGAGAAATATGGGTGTAACATACAAAGTCAAAGTTGGAAATAAAAATATAATACTAGATAAACGGACATATGACAGCAAATATAATAGTTTGAATGACTCATTGTATAAACAATTCATACAAATTGATAAGAAAATACTATATGCCAACAGAAAAAAGCCAAAAGCATTTCATAAAAGAGACGACAAGCTGGTTTATAACAAAGTTACTCATTCTCACTATAATAGAAAAAATACAAATTAAAACCATAATGAGGGGGAGGGCATAGCTCAGTGGTAGAGCGTGTGCTTAGCATGCACGAGGTCCTGGGTTCAATCCCCAGTCCCTCCATTAAAAACTAACAAACAAACAAATAAATAAACCTAATTACCTCCTCCCCCAGAAAAAAAAATTTTAATAATAATAATAATAATAATTTAAATTATCAAAAATATTTTTAAAAGAAATGATTAGGTACCAGTTGCTGGAGAGGTTAAAAAAGTAACTTCATACACTACTGGCAGCAGGGCAAAATTGGCACAAGTCCTATAATAAGGCTATTTTGTGCTGTAATAGTTTTTAAAATAGTTACCATTTAGTACCTATAGTGTCTCAAGCTCTGACGGGGACTTTATACGTGTGATTAATACAGAGCTTTGCTGTGCGGTGGGTAGTAATACCCACCCCTATACAACAGAAGAAAAAAGTGAGGCTGTGGAAAGTAAAAGAACGTGCCCCTAAGCCCCATCACTAGCAAGGGGCGGGGTCCACCTCCAGCCAGGACGCTCAGGCTCCTGTGTGTCTATGCTCAGAGCCTGGAAGTCCTCTCTAAGCTCTTCCCCAGCCGTTGTGATTTCAGGGATCGCTCCTAAGGAAATAACCCTAAGTTAAAGGGAAAAACAGGGATGAATCAAAGACAGTCACTGAGGTATCATCCATAGTATCACAGTAGCAACCAAAATTTAAATATGTATCAGTTCTACAACTCAGCATACACAGACATTTACCTATGTCCTAACCTGTAAAATGTAACTGACAAAATAGTTAAAAAGTAGAAAATTATAAACATTATATAATTCAATAAAACACTAAAACTTTCAAGCATAGTCAGAAAGGATAACCCATGATATATTAGGCGTTATGATTAGATGTATGTTTTTTGCATGTATTTTTTTCTGCTTTTTTTCTGTTTTCCCAGTTTTTCACTATGAGCATCGATTACTTCTATATTAGGAAAGTAAACAAATACACGAAAAGGAACCAAATAAGACTGTATAATGTAAAGTATTAGCTGCTTTTCTTGGGTTTAGGAATTTTTCACTAGCCCATTCCTCTCAGCTCACCTCTCCCTCCTTCAGAAAGATACGGCCCCCACTTCATGGAAGAGATCTGAGAATTCAGCACATCCTGCCCCATTTTTCCCTTTCCCTTTTTCTTTCTTCCTCTCCCTTCCAAAACAAACTGGCAAATCTCCAAGGAAGGGAAGCTTGTACCATAGTCTTTTTCCCATTCAAGTCCCACTGCCGAACAAGCAAATCCAAGGTGGACTTCAGCATCTTCCAAAACAGCCTAATGGCACAAGGGAGACAACGCAGACTGTTCAGCCTCTGGAAGGCACATCCCTCTGGGGGACCCTTCCCACAAGGCTGAAAAGCCGGGAATGAAGTCTCCTCCCTAATGGCTGAGGGCCTCTGGTACTGCAGAAAAGCCCAGCCAGCCAGGGCACTGCTACAAAAAAGTAAGAATGTCTATACGTTTTCCTTCTATGATCTGTTTCCCTCCAAGGTTCTACTAACTTCTCACTTTGGAGCAGGAAAGTCACCAGAAAGTCTACATCGAGTGGAATTCAACTTTCTGATCACACCTGTTTGTCATAATATTTTGGTGATCAAACACTTGCCGACTAGATATTTTTGTACCCTAGCCCTAAAGCTTAAAGCAGTCCTTCCTGTAAAACCCACCGCAGACACAAGATGGCGCTAAATAGATTTAAGTGGGTTACATTGCACTGGTATCAACAGCAAAAAAAAAAAAAAAAAAAAAAAAAAAAACCCATGTAAGTGAGGGCCTGAGAATAAAACTCACACAGATTTAAAAAATAAATAAATAAAAATAAAAAAGGTAGATGGCTTGGGTCACAGAATCCATGAAAATCAGTGATTTCCATTTTCAAGAAGGATGCAGAGGGTCAGAATGTCCAGAGAGGTGGGTAACAACTGCACAGGTCTAAAAAGAGATCACGGCATTTATTGTCATGCTGCCCATAAAATTTACTCCAGGCATTTTAATTAATTTTCCATGCTTCAGTTTCCTCACCCAAAAATGAGACAGTAACACCGCAGTATCTATTTTGCAGGGGTGCTGTAGGGATTGAGCCAGAGCATTGCCTTGCTTAAAGTAAGTGCTCAGTAAACGTTAGTCATGTCAGCCACGTCACTGAAGTCGCACATCAGTTATCTCCTGGACAGAAACACACAACGAAAGACTCCGCAAGACACGAAGTTGGGGAGCGAGCCCTCTGCCCAGCCCAAAGTCACGAATATTTTTTTCTCAACATTTTTAGGATTGCTTTTTATATTAAGATATACGCTCCATTTTGAGGTAATTTTTGGATACATTGTGAGGTTTAGATGGATGTTTTCCCCACATAGTTGTGTAACTGACCTAATACAGTTTTTTGAAGAGACTATCCTGCCTTTATGTAATTGTTTTTGCAAATCTGCCAAAAATTAATTGGCGATGTTCGTGTGGGTCTATTTCTGGATTCTCTATTCTGTTCCATCGATCCATCCATCCATCCCTTTGTCAATACCACACTATCTTGATTATCACAGCTTCATTAGAAGTCTTAAAATCAGGTGGTATGATTCCTACAATTTCATTCTTCTTTTTCAAAATTGTTTTGGCTATTCTTGTCCTTTAGCCTTTTCATGGGAATTTTAGAAACAGTTTGTCTAAACCTTCAAAAAACATCTTTTTGGAAGTATTATGGGAAATGTATTAAATCTATAGGTAAATTCTGGAGAATTTATTACATTCAGTCTTGTATCTATGAACCTATTATGTCATAATTCACATCTTCTCTATTTTCATCAGCGTTGGGTAGTTTTTAACTAAAGATTCTGTATATGGCTTTTTGTTAAATGTATAAGCACTTCATGTTTTGAGGGCTACTGGAAATATTTTTAAAACTTCTCCATTTCCAACTGTTTATTACCAGCATATAGAAATAAAAACATTTTTTGTTTGTTTTGACTCTGAATCCTGTAACTTTGTTAAACTTATCAATTTTAAGAGTTTTTTAGGTTATGTTTTTGAAGATTCCCTGAGGTTTCCTACATAGACAACAATGCTGTCTGTGACCTAGAACAATTTTATTTCTTCCTTCCCAACCAGTATTCCCCTCACTTTTTATTCCCCCTTGCCTTATCTCATTGGTTGAGTATAAATATTCAACTGGGAAAGAAAGAGTGGACAATTTTGTCTTTTCTCAATATTAGGGGGAAAGCACTCAGTTTTTCACCATTAT